ACCCCTCATTCCATATACACTATGTATGTACCCCTCATTCCATATACAGTAAATCCTGTGAAAGCCAAAACTTTAATCAGGTGGAAACTTGCCACAGAAGGAAAACTCAACTGTTTTCCACTAATAGTGATAGAAAAAGTGGGAAGACTTGTTACAGGAGAAAACTTTTAAGACATGGAAGAGCAAGGCAGTCTCATTGAGTTCCAGCTCTTACAGGCTTCACTATATTAAGTTCAGGACTGTGATCTAATATGTATAATTCAATTTATTATTTTTAAGCTTCCAGGTACTTAGCATGCTGTATGCATATTAAATGTACTCAAATGCATGTTGAAATGAATGTGTCTCCCAGAATACCAGATGAGAGGCTGGATGACCAAAAGCTTGTGTTTGAATTTTTTTTTTTCCTAGAGTTTTATAAATAAAAGGATAACATTTTTGTTTCTCAGTTAATATAAATTGTAGAAATTGCTAGATGCCCACAATATTCCAACCCTAATTAAACTAGAATTTGGAAACCCCTGCAAAATTTGATATGAAAGGGCTTCAAAAGTTCATAGAAAATTTCATTATCTTTGTAGTGTCTTTCCACAAATGAAACGTTAGTACAAACTGTATTTTCATATTCTTCTCACTCCCCATGATAATGTATGTTTTCCATTTTACTGTTAGTGCTTGTTAACATGGAAAGAAGAAAAATGGTGATCAGTTTTCATTCCTTTGATATTTTTATGCCTTTTCATATATGAGAGGGCTTCAAAGTTTATGGGAAAAGAGAATGGCATTTTACATTCCCCCCCAACATAAGCACTTGTGTTGGGCAATTTAGGTGACGTAAGGAACTGTGTAAAACAAAGTTTAAGACACAATTGGAGTGTGTATATTAGTAAGGGAATGAGTGCCTATTAATAGGAATGCCTTTTCAGTTAGACTGTAGGCAAAATTTTCAGTCATTCTATATTAAAATCTAATTGCGTATATACGATTTTTATATATAAAGATTTTTTTTAATATTGTGATTGACATTTTTCAAGCAGAGGTAATTATTACACTTGGTCTTCAGAATGATATATTTCTCTGACAGTTTATCTTATTTTAAAGTAGATATAGGTAAAATTAATTGGTTCACATGTATCTTTATAGTCCTTAGTTTACTTAGCCCTGTCCAGTTCCCCTCATTCTGGAATTCAAAAGATAATCCGGCCATTCGTAGGAAATCCTATACAAGGTCGCTATCGGTCAGAGCTGACTCGACGGCACTTAGCAACAGCAATAACAATTCTCTAGGACTTTGTTTTCAGTGCACCATTGATCAATTTCAATCAAAATGTATAAACTGT